AAAATTTTGTAATTCATAAAAAAGGAATGTGTTTGATTTTTTAAACATTATTGAAATATGACTGACATACAAAAGCTGTACATATTTAATTTCTATATTGTACACCTGGAACTAATATAACACTGTATATTAACTAACTAGAATTAAAATAAAAATTTTTTAAAAATTTTGTAATTCATAAAAAAGGAATGTGTTTGATTTTTTAAACATTATTGAAATATGACTGACATACAAAAGCTGTACATATTTAATTTCTACAGCTAGATGAGTTGGAGATAAGTATATGTCCAGAAATGTTGGATTTTAAATACTAGATCTGTGGAGAGATGATCACCAAGTAGTTGGAAATTCAAGTTTAAATATTAGGAAAGAGGTTAGGATTAGAGATATAAATTCAGAGACATTTGCATGAGAAGTCCACTATTTCCCATGACATACCTTCCTCCCACACATACCTTCAAGCACACTCAAACACTCAACTTAAACACTGACTACCTTCTATATAACAGGTGTTATACTATCACAAGTACTGAAGCTATAAACATAAATGAAACATGTTCTCTGATTTCTGGAAACTTACATTCTAAGATCTCAAAAAGGTCGGTTTTGGGGGTTTTTTGGGGGGGTCAAAATCTCACAATACTATAAAGTATATCTGCTGTCATTTACAATACTTTTCTTTGTACTCCTCTAAACTTACTTATAAAAGGGGATTTGTTTTAATCTTTAAGTAACATCAAAAGAAAAGAGCAATTTCTGACTAGTGAGAGAGTAGTGAGGAAGGTCATCCCAGATGATACCACACTTTTCCAACCCCAGTCTTAAACCCAGGTATAAAAAACTTCCCTTTATGTGAAATTAATTTGCTATGGGTATTGTTAAGAAAATCAACAGCTCTCAATTTAGTCCTCAATGTTTTAGGTTTGTAATTTGCCAATAGCCCTATCTATGCATACTTGAAGGAGTGGACAATTCTATAGTTGTGGCACACTCCTTGCTTTCTGGATTCTGGAAACTTCCTTCTGCCATAAACTTTCTGTGAAGGAATGCATTGATTCATCAGACCTGGGCTGTTCAAACTCTGAACATTCCCAAGAAAGGAATATTTGCCGGATGGGCTCTTGGCTGGATTCTTGGAATGATCTGTCAGATAAGAGTGTTTTTGCATGCTTAATTAAGGCCATGGGCCATACTGTACCAGTGTGTCCAGATGGTTTATGCTAACAATGTGATTTATGGTGAACATCTGTTTTTGTTTTTGTTTTTTTTCCCTCTAGGGAGCTAGAGCTTGAATAACCAAGGTCAATCATGCAGGTGCTACATGCCTACATGATTGACCCTCAATAAAAACCCTAGACATTCAAGCTTGAGCAAGTATTGGGTGGCAACACTTTGCATGTGTTTTCACACATCGTTGCTGGGTAATTGTGTCTCACATGACTCCACTGGGAATGGACACTGGGAAGCTTGTGCCTGGTTTCCTCAAGACTTGCCCTGAGTGCCTTTGCTGATTTTATCTTGCATCCTTTCACTGTAATAAATCATAACTGTAAGTATCAGAGCTTCTAAATCCTGTGAGTTCATCTCGTGAATCACTGAGGCAAAGGATAAATGGGGACCTCTGACACATCTTTCTTCGAAGTCAGGGACTTTTCTTGTTTCCAGAAATTGTCCGAACTTTACTACTCTTCTCATTTTTCCCACCATTTGGTAGGGTTTAAAGCACCTGGCCAATCCCCCCAGATAACTTAATTGCAAAGTCTGACCTGATCAATACTGACCAAGAGAGGGGCTCCTGGATGGCTTAGTAGGTTAAGCATCTGCCTTTGGCTCAGGTCAGAATCCCAGAGTCCTGGGATCGAGCCCCACATTGGGCTCCCTGCTCAGTGGGAAGCCTGCTTCTCCCTCTCCCCCTGCTGATGCTCTCTCTCTCTCTCTCAAATAAATAAAATCTTTAAAAGATAATAATAATAATGAGGTCTCTGATACCAACATTTCAAGCAGAGGGCTATGTCTACTTCTCTATTTCATCAGTCAATGCCACCCAGTCCCAGCAACAGACAAGGTCATGTCTGGTCTTGGCTATTGCTTAAATGGCCGAGAAAGTGGCAAAGGCACCTCACCATTTTATATATCACTAAAATCAAGCTGCCAACAGGTGGGGCATGATGGCTCCCAGCAATTTTCTGCTGTCAATCCTCCCATTATCTCCTTCTCAGAAACTGTACACAACTCTGCACAGATGTAATCCCCACGAAGCTGCAAGAGAGAAGCCCTTGTCCTTACCCTACAGTAAGTCTCTTATGTAGGATGTGGCTCCACCTGGGAGGCATGGCATAGATAATTTAGTAGCAACATTAGAAAATGATTTCAATATAAAAAATACACCTAGAGTGAATTCTCCATCAAATTCACTCTCACTCACTTGTACTCTAATAAGCTTTCTTGAATGGGAGAGAAAGAGTTGGAAGTATACTGCATGTCAAAAATTACATAGAACCCACAGCTTTCCTTATATGTATCAAGCATGAAATAATTGTTTAAATTGTAGATTTTGTTAGTTATGTGCTTTGATGCTCTCTGGCTCCTATCCCCACAACTCAAATCTGTAGCCTATTACTTTATTTTCTAAGAAAAGGCTTTGCAATTTCATTACCCTACAGAAGTGGGTAACACGTGTGAAATGCTACGTAAATGACACACACTAGTCTTAAAATGGCTCAGAGTCACAGCACTGGGTAATAGGAAGTTAAATGTATTCCCTATTTTACCATTTCTTCAAGTGAAATTGCATATCTCAAATTTGTACAGAATGTATCCTTGTACTACACTGACATGAGTGGTAACTAAGATAAAGGCCAAATCCTCACCTTATACAGGAGTCAAACAGGCCAGTGAAAAATTCTAACACATATTAACATAGGGATTTTATGTTCTTCAGAAAATCTTAACATTTATTTACAAGTCTCGCAAATAGCTTCTCATCTATAAACCACTCAGAGTAATTACATGTTTTGTTGAAGACCAGCAAAAGAAACAGAGACAGTGTGACAGAATCCAATGGACCTGGATAGCTCTCCCTTTCTCTCATTAAAACAAGTATTTATTTGTGTGTGTGTGTGTATGTCTGTGTGTGTGTGTGTATTATATGTATATGCATGTTTTTTAAAAATATAAGGAGCATTTTGGGTTTTTTGTTTCGTTTTGGTTTTTTTTTGAAGTAGGCTCCATGCCCAGCATGGAGCCCAATGCAGGGCTCAAACTCACAACCATGAGATCAAGGCCTGAGCTGAGATCAAGAGTTGGAAACTTAACCAACTGAGCCACCCAGGTGCCTCAAAAGAAGCATTTTGATTTTATAAGCTTATCTTCTGAAAGTGCTGTTATTCATATTAAATAAATGTTAACTGTTTGGAATCCTGGGCACACACTCAGGTTCATTTCCTTTCTCCTCAGGCAGTTTCCATAATCCACAACATTTTCATTTTAACAGTCCTCATTACTGGTATCATTTAATACTTGAGGGTTTGCTCAAATCAACATCAATCTTGCTGATCCTGCAAACACTTATTCTGTTGACACAACACAGTCTGAATCCATAGCTACTAAATGTAAAAAATTTTAAATTATTCCTTCACCCAACATGTCACCAAGTACTAAGAACACTCTGTCAGTCACTCAGTCCTGTCACAGAGACACAGAAATGGAGAGCCATTAAGCATAGGGCTTTTCATGGGACCCCACTTCTACCTCATATATCCCCTTGCCCACACATACATACTATATCCTCCTGAAGGCATTTAACACCTTAAACTCAACCACTGTTAAGATGAAAACGTTTGCCTGGAAGACATCCTGTTGGATACAACTGACTCATACTTCTTCATTAACAAATAATCTTTTACCACAAGTACCTTAACTAACCAAAAAAGAGAAAAGCCTTGCCCTCAGAAAAAGCAATAAAAACCCATTCAGAATAAAATTTCTTTTTAATTAATCTTTAAATGTCCCTAGATGAGTCTAAATTAAGAAAAAATAATCTCCTTACTTGATTGGAAAACCTCATGCTCACGTTACGCTGATTCTGTAGTGGCACATAGCGCTGGACAGGATCAATGTCTTTAGGACTGATTAATTCATCAGCTGAAAAAAAAAAAGAAAGGAAATGACATTATCAAAAATGCATCTGTACAACACTATAAACCAACTAGACCTAATAGCAATAGAATACGTCATCCAACAAGAGCACAATATATATCCTCCCCAATGCACATAGAATATCTTCCATATACTAGGCTATAGAATAATCCTCAATAAATTTAAAGAATTAAAATTATACAAAGTATGATTCTGACCACAATAGCATGAAATTAGAAATCAATCAATAGGAAGAAATTTTAGAATTTCTTCTAAATATATATACATATACATATATACATATATAATTTCTTCTAGAATATAAATACGTGGAAATTAACACACTCCTAAATAACCAATGGGTCAAAGAAGAAAACAAATGGGAAATTAGAAAATAGTTTCTAATACATGTTCTGATGAGATGACTGAAAATGAAGACACATATACCAAAACTTATGGATATAGCTAAATCAATGCTCAGTGGAAAATCTGGAGCTGTAAATGCCTATACTAAACAGAAGAAAAACTTCAAATCAGTAACCTATTTTTCCATCTTAAGACAGCAGATGAAAAGAGAAAACTAAATCAAAAGCAAGCAGAAGGAAAGAAATAGTAAAGATTAGAGTGGAAGTTAATGAAATAGAATATAGAAAAGCAATAGGGAATATAAATGAAACCAGAAGTAGATTCTTGAAAAGCTCAAAAGTGGACTAAACTTTAGCTAGACTGACCAAGAAAAAAAGAAGACTCAAATTACTAAATCAGGAATGGAAGTTACGAACATTATCACTGACCTTCAGGATTATATGATAATACTATGAACAAAATGTACACCAATAATTTAGATAACCTAGATGGATACGAACAAATTCCTAGAAATATACACATTACCAAAACTAATTCAAGAAGGAATAGAAAATATAAGGATTTATTTTTATTTATTTATTATTATTTTTTAATTTTATTATGTTAATCACCATGCATTACATCATTAGTTTTTGATGTAGTGTTCCATGATTCATTGTTTGTGTATAACACCCAGTGCTCCATTCAATACGTGCCCTCTTTAATACCCATCACCAGGCTAACCCATCAAATTTTATTTATTTGAGTGAGAGAGAGAGAGCACACAGAGTGAGAGCGAGAGGGAGAAGCAGACTCCCCACTGAGCAGAGAGCCTGACACAGGGCTCAATTCCAGGACCCTGAGATCAATAACCCTGAGCCACCTAGGTGCCCCTATAAACACATTTATAACAAGTGACTGAAACCTTCTGGAAAAAACAAACAAAAAAATAAAAACCCAGGACATCATGGCTTCATTGGTGAATTCTATCAGTTAAAAGAAGTAAACCAATCTTTCACACACTTTTCCAAAATAGTAGGGGAAATGCTTTCCAACTCATTCAAAGAGGCCAAAACTACAAAATCAAAACATAAATAACAAAGAAAAGATGAGATAAATTGAACTTTGTCAAATTATAACCTTGTGGACCTCAAAGGACATGATGAAAAAAGTGAAATAACCCACAGAATGGGAGAAAATATCTGCAAATCATGTATCTTTAAGGGACTTCTGTCTTGAATATATATAAAAAATCTTATGACTCAATAAAAAAAGACAACACAATTTAAAAATGGCCACAGTAGGGGCGCCTGGGTGGCTCAGTTGGTTAAGCGACTGCCTTCGGCTCAGGTCATGATCCTGGAGTCCCGGGATCGAGTCCCGCATCAGGCTCCCTGCTCGGCAGGGAGTCTGCTTCTCCCTCTGACCCTCCCCCCTCTCATGTGCTCTCTCTCTCTCAAATAAATAAATAAAATCTTTAAAAAAAAAAAAATCTTAAAAATGGCCACAGTACTTGAATAGACACTTCTCCAAAAAAGATACACAAATTACCAAATAAGCACATGAAAAGATGCTCAACAACATTAAGTCATTTGGGAAATGCTTATCAAAATCATAATGAGATACCACTTCATATCCATTAGGATGCTATTATCAAAAAGCAGATAAGAACAGTGGTTGGAGAGGATGCAGAGAAACTGGAATCCTCATACATTGTTAGATGGAATGCGTTACGGCACAGTACTTTGAAAAACAGTCTGGAATTTCTCAAAATGTTAAACACAGAGTTACCATATAACTCAGCAATTCTACCCCTAGGTATATACCCAAGAGAAATGAAAACATGTCAAACAGTAACTTGTACATGAAAGTTCACAGCAGCATTATTCATAAAAGCAAAAAAATGCAAACAACCCAAATGTCCATCACCAGATGAATGGATAAATCAAATGTGGTATGTACATACAATGGAATGTTATTTGACCATAAAAGGAATTAAGTGCTGATACATCAATGAACCTTGAAAACAGGCTAAGTGAAAAAAGCCAGTCACAAAGGCCAGACATTATATGATTCAAGGTATATGAAATGTCCAGACTAGGCAAATCTACAGGGATAGAAAGTAGATTAGTGAGTGTCCAGTGTTGGGGGAAAAGGTGAATGGGGAGTAACTGGGTATGAGGTTAGGGATGAGTGGGGAGTAACTGGGTATGAGGTTTTTTGAAGGGTGATGAAAATATTCTAAAATTGTGGTGATGGTTGTACAACTGTCTGTGAATAAACTAAAAACCACTGAATTTAAACTTCGAATAGGTTAAGAGATAGTATGTAAATTATACCTCAATAAAGCTGTTCTAAAAATAATGTATTTGCATTCTCTCAAGAAAGGAAACCAGTTCATGAAGGGGAGACAAAGTGTTTCCTGATACTAAATTCTAGAAGATTTCTGAGGGCATTTTTCCTGGGGCACTAACCAGCATGAAAGCAATGGCTTCAACTGCTATTGTACTGTTGTGCTGGAAGCCCTTTCACCTGGTAGTTCCTTGTGGCAACTATGGATAAAATCCAAGGACATAACAATGAAGGCAGTTTAGAGTGTTTGGAAGGAGAGGGTAAGGAGAAGGTCTGCTGTCTTCTGCTGTAACACCCCTCAGAGAGATTCAGAACCTAAGGCTCAATGGAGCAGGGATTCTCCATGGACGTGGAGAGGACTATGCTAGGAAGGTGTGGTGGGAAGACACTGAAATGTAATTCTGCATAACCTCGTTGGAGTGCAAGATGGCAGTATCTATGCAAATTTACAGCAGGCATACTCTGTCCCAGCAACTGCACATCTATAAGGTTATCCTAGTTATACTCAGACACGTAAAGGTAATTGAATAATAACATTAAAAAAAAAAAAAGAATTTAACTTCTCCCAAAGTGAATCAGCACAATTTTTGCTGCACTTAAGCTATGAAAATGTCTTCATTTCATATTTGATCTTCAGTTCTTTACTGATTACATAAAAATGACACCATGCGGAGTTTCCTATAAATTCACCTGTGTATAAAATTTAGTTTAAAAAAAAAATACACCTCATTTTCCATAGCTTTTTAGGTACTTCTTTTAGTCAGTGAATAATTCTGAAAAACAGAGCAGAGAGTCAACCACAGAAACGCTTGTAAATTTCTTCGCAGCTGGGGTTATGCTTCTCATTATACAGGTATTTCTATTCCGGTTTAACTTGAGGGCACATGAGCAAGGCTATCCACTAGACAAAATCACCAAAGGTGTTTTTCATAACTCTTAAAGATGTTTTTAATAATAATAAAAGTGATATTACTGATAGCATGACAAGAAAGAGGAGGAACAGCGCGGCCACAGCTGCCTCTGCCACAGGAAGCACAGCAACGCTCACACGGTGCTGACTATGTTCCTCGCCTCATTTGAGCATTTCATGTAAACTAATTCATTAATCTTCACCACAACCTCGTCATTTTACAGATGACAAAATGGAGGCGTGGAGGGGCTGAGCCACTTGCACACAGCAGGTAAATGACAGAGTTTAGATTCAAGCACAGTCAGTCTCTCTCTCGAGTCTGTGCTCATAGCCCAGACTAATCTTACCCTTTAAGAACACTGACACTGTACACAACACAGATGGAAAAGATACCAAGAGGAGAAAACATTAAACAAATAATTTAGACCTTGACAGGTTATATTTTTCCTATTCAAATCACAGAACATTCTTCTACCTCTGAAAAAAGTATACTTTTGCAAAATTTAAACCAAACCAATATAGGCTTAATTATGGCAAATACCGCCATATAATTTCTATTTATTAATATCAGTTGAGCTCATGATGCAGGGTTGATTAGTACAGTGATATTCTAAATAGCACCAAATTATTCCCTATCTCATTTGTCTGATCACTGAGATGTGAAAAAATCTCCACTACCAACAAGCATTTTACATAATTAATGTTTCACTGTCTTTCTACAGAAATGAAATTCTATCTTTATTATTTTGTTATTTATAAATGATGACAGAAAAATTAAGAAATCTTATATCCTTGGAAAGAATAAATGCTAATCTATTAAAATTGATATGGATCAAACAGTTAACCAAGTCTCTTGAAAACGCTTATTTCTTTGCATTTCCTTCTCATTTCTCTATTTGTACTGCATCTATATATCTAGTTTGACATTCCAACTTATACCACGTGCTCATCTATAACCCCACAGGCCGTATGGCTATTCCCCATTTTCTAGCACAGCATCTGCCATATAGTAGGTATTGTAAATTTTTAAGAGACTTATTAAACAAAATAATAAGCTGGTGGGTTAGCAAATTTGGAAACATCAATTGCTGTAATCATTGCTTTAATTTCCATAATGGTAAAAGTGACTAATGTCTCAAAAGATCAGGTTAATGGACATTTTTTTTTTTTACTTCATTGATTTTTAACATTCAGGAGGCAAAACAGAGTTCCTCACTGTGCTGATTCCCTGGCACTGGCTTTCTAGTGAAGAGTGAAAGCCTGAAAGAACTTGTGCCCGACCAACTACAGAATATGTAAAATGAAAATAAGGGAACAAGGATAAAAGAGCAATGGCTTTCTACATTTCACAGTATGGTACCAAACCTCACAGATAATCAAGCATTTCTATAAATAGGCA